TGAGCTGGCAGTCAGCACAGAGCCCGACGCGGGGCTCGAACCCACGAACCGCGAGATCATGACCTAAGCGAAAGTTGGACGCCCAACCGACTAAGCCACCCAGGCGCCCCCGGAATTAGAACATTTAAAAGCATTATGTATTTTAAAATAACAGTAAACCCAGTACATACTAATAAAAAGGTTTTTATGAAAAAAATAACCATTTTCCAAAATGAAAATTTAGTGAGAAGAGTGGCACTATTTTACATTTTTGCAAAATTTTTAATAGCTAGCTTAAAAGAAAGCTGGGTTTTTATTTCTACTTTTTTTAAAAATTTCTACTTCTACATTCAATATGTTACAGCACATTTCCTTCTCATGAAACTGTGTGAATGTTAGTTTTTGATAACTAAATGACTCTTATTTAGAGCAGCTTTACCTTGACTGAGGAAAACAAATTATGTGAACCTTGAGGAGCCCACTTAATTTGGAGTATCACTTTCCTCATTTACTTATCAAATATGATACCTACCACTTCATAAACAACTGGAGTTAAGAGCAAATGAAATGTTTGTAAAAATGCTTTGTAAAGCCCTAAAAAAATATTGTTACATAAAGGCCCTCATAATCCGAATCACATACATACACACATATACATGCACACATATACATTCACACTCTCCCTTTTCAAAATCTTAAGTTGTAAGGAAACTGGAAATATGGGGCACTAACACTGAATTTCCATTGGAAAGAATTCACTCTACTAAGAATGGACAATGGAACCTTTAGGTCAGAACTGGCATAAGAAAAACATTAAGGATTAAAACATTAAGTAGAATATCACAGATTCCAACCAAGATTTTAAAGTCCTTGGAATGGAAACTGGAAAGCAAATATATTTTGACTAATAGATTAATAAATCCACTACAATGAAAGCTAAAGAGCAAACTATTAGACTAGTAGTACTCAACTTTGGCTGTACATTGAGAGCTTTAAAAACCTGATGCTTTGGCCCCACACCTGAGAGATTCTGTTATGGGCTTTGACCTAAACATCTACAGGTGAATTCAGTAGCAGCTAAGGCTAAGAACTGCTGGCATTAAGAATGCTAAACTTTGGGGCGCCTGGGTGGCTCAGTTGGT